TCAATCATCATCATCAGAGTCATCGCTTATGAGAAGCTCACCCGCCCTGCCCATGTCCTGCTTGCTCCCGCTCGTCAGCCAAGCCAGGAAGTCGTCGAATCTCTCCTCACGTGGCTTCTTTGGCTTCTTCGGTTTCTTTTCCTTGTTGGCTTCTTTGTCCTGGCTGGGTTTGTTGTCGTCGGCGTTCCTGGATTGGGGTCTGGCTTGGTTGGGATTGGACCGAGGTGCGGGTTTGTTGTCGTCTCTCCTGTCGTTGCTGGGTCTGGGTTTGTCGTCTCTGTGGTCGTCTTTAGGCCTGGGTTTGTCGTCTCTGTGGTCGTCTTTAGGCCTAGGTTTGTTGTCGTCTCTGTGGTCGCTGCTTGGCCTGGCTTTGTTGTCGTCGTTGTTCCTGTCTCTCTCGTTGTCTCTTTCTCTGTTTTCGTCTTTATCCTTGTTCCTGTCTCTGTTCCTGTTCTTCTCCTCCTCTTCTCTCTTTCTTCTCTCCTCCTCTTTCCTTCTTCTCTCTTCTTCCTCTTCTTTTCTCTTTCTCTCCTCTTCTTTCTCCTTTCTCTTTCTCTCTTCTTCCTCTTTCTCCTTTCTCTTTCTCTCTTCTTCCTCCTTCTCCTTTCTCTTTCTCTCCTCTTCTTCTTTCTCCTTTCTCTTTCTCTCCTCTTCCTCCTTCTCCTTTCTCTTTCTCTCCTCTTCTTCCTTCTCCTTTCTCTTTCTCTCTTCTTCTTTCTCCTTTCTCTTTCTCTCCTCTTCCTCCTTCTCCTTTCTCTTTCTCTCCTCTTCCTCCTTCTCCTTTCTCTTTCTCTCCTCTTCCTCCTTCTCCTTTCTCTTTCTCTCCTCTTCCTCCTTCCTTTTCCTTTCCTCTTCCTCCTTTCTCTTTCTCTCCTCTTCTTCCTTCTTTTTCTTTTCTTCCTCCTCTTCTTCCTTCTTTCTTCTTCCTCCTTTTCTTTTCTCTTTCTCTCTTCTTCCTCTTCTTTTTCCTTTCCTCTTCTTCCTTTCTCTTTCTCTTTCCTCTTCTTTCTTCCTTCTTTCCTTTCCTCTTCTTTCTTCCCTTTTCTTTCTTTCGCTTCCTCCTTCTCCTTCTTCTTTCTCTCTTCTTCCTCCTTCTCTTTTTTCTTTCTTTCTTCTTCCTCTTTCTCTTTTTTCTTTCTCTCTTCTTCCTCCTTCTCTTTTTTCTTTCTCTCTTCTTCCTCCTTCTGTTTTTTCTTTCTCTCTTCTTCCTCCTTCTCTTTTTTCTTTCTCTCTTCTTCCTCTTTCTCTTTTTTCTTTCTCTCTTCTTCCTCCTTTCTCTTTTTCTCCTCTTCCTCCTTTCTCTTTTTCTCTTCGGCCTCCTTTTTCCTTTTTTCTTCCTCCTCCTTTTCTTTCCTTTCCTTCTCCTCTTTCTCTTTCGCTTCCTTCTCCTTCCTCTCTCTCTCTTCCTTTTCTTTTCTTTCCTTCTCCTCTTTCTCTCGCTTTTCCCTCTCTTCCTTCTCCTTCGCCTCTCTTTCCTTCCTCTCCTTCTCCTCTTTCTCCTCTGCTCCTTCTCCTTCGCCTCCCTCTCCTTCTCCTCCCTCTCCTTCTCGTACTTCTCCTGCCTCTCCCTCTCCTCCCTGTCTCTCCTCTCCTTCGCTTCTCTCTCTAGCGTCTCCTCTCGTCAGCTGGCGGTGTTCGGTTCGTGCTGCTCGTCGGTGGCTTCGTCTTCGGCTTCGTGGTCTTTCCGTCGTCCGGGATGAGGCCCATGCGCTTCTGGCGAATGAAATCGGCGACGGTCAGCCCCATGGCGGAGGGATAGGCGGTGCTGCGGTCGGCCCGGGCTGTGAGGGGAAGAGAAAAACTAGTGCGTCAAATTAAAAGTAAAAATGGGTTATTTTGATGATGACTTTGTATGTAAAAGATAGTTGTCATTGTTATTCTACTTTTTGATGATAATAATGTAATGATAATAATAATAGTAATGAGAATAATGGTAATGATAATGACAATGATAATGAATAATGATAATGAATAATAAATAGTATAGAATAATGTAATGACAATGATAATGAATAATGATAATGATGATAACATTAATCATAATATATGATTATAATAATAATAATGATGATGATGATAATAATAATAATAATAATAATAATAATAATAATAATAATAATAATAATAATAATAATAATAAAATAATAAATAATAATAATGATAATGATGATAATAATGATAATATTGATCAGGAAAAAGATGATGCTAATAATAATAATAACAACAATAACAATAATAATAATGATGATAATGATTATTATTATTGCAATGATAATAATAAGAACAATAATAAATGACAATGATAATGATGATAGTAATGATAATTGATAATAACAGTATAATGATAATGATAATAATGATGATAATGATAAACACAGTAAAGATAACAACATTATTATCATTATCGTTATCATTACCAGTATTATCATAATTGTTATATCATTATAAATATCATTATTATTACCATTATAATCATTATCAATATACTACTTTATGATTACATCATTACCATTCTACCATTATCATCATCACCTCACCAATAGTACTGTTATTATCATCATTGTTATCATCATTATTATTATCATTATAATTAATATTGTTATCATTGTTGTGATTATTATTATCATCATTACTACTTTTGTTTATGATAGTGCTTTTGTTTTATTGTCACTATTATTTTTGTTAATATAATCTTTATCATTGATAACAGTTTATTGTTATTATTACTATTATTATTCATAATAGTATTGTCATTATTATTATCGTATTTATTATTGTTATTATTATCACAATCATCCTTATTATCATTATTGTTATTGTTGATGTTATTCTTATTGTTATCACTATTATTTTGTTATTATTGTTATCATTATTATCTTCAATATTGTTTACTGTTATTGTTATTATCATCATAATCACTGTTATCATTATCATTATCGCTCATATCATCATTGTTATTGTTACTATCATTACAATTATCTTCATAACTATCGTTATTTTTATTATCGCTGTTATTATTGTTATCATTATGGGTAGTCACAATCGTAGCAGTAGTAGTAGTAGTAATAGTATCATCACATTATTATTTATGATTATCATTGTTTTCTCTTATTAATGTTATTATTTTCATCAATATTGTTACTATCATCATTATTGTTATCATCATTACTATTTCTATTTCATTATTATCATAATCGTTATTATCATTATTTCATAATTATTATTATCATCATTATCATCATCATTTATTATCATCATTGTTATTACTGTTAATGTTATCATTATGATTATTATTATCATTATCATTATTATTATCCTTATCATTTTTATTATCATTATAATTTTTATCATCATTATCGTATTATCATAATTATGAATTGATTTCAGGTGCAGGATTAGACCTGTATTTTCTTAATATTTTTTTATGTAACATCAATTAACAAATGTAATTTCCTCATTACTTCCTCTGAATTTTGTACTTTCTTCATACAATGCTAAATTTCTTTATCATTAGGTGTTATACTGAAATAAAATCAGTGATTCGACTTAAACTTACTCTTCGGCAAAACACACTGGAAGGATTTGCTTGTCATTAAGGACAAATATGGACCACAAGAGTAAAGTCGACCATGTAGATTAACTAATTGTTATTAATAAGGAGCTGTAGCTTTGTTTGTTTGTGGGTTATGTGTCCGTCTACCTGTCTGTCTGTTTGTTTACTTGTCAATCAGTCAGTCTCTCTCTCTCTCTCTCTCTCTCTCTCTCTTGATATTTATGTTGTTGTTTGAGTGTTTTTGTTGAGTTTATGTCCGTCTGCCTGTCTGTCTATCTGTCTGCCAGTCACTCGTCAGTCAGCCTCTCTCTCTCTCTCTCGCCCCTTATTTTCTCTCTCTCTCTCTCTCTCTCTGTCTGTCTGTCTGTCTGTCTGTCTCTCTCTCTCTCTCTTCTCTCTCTTCTCTCTCTCTCCTCTCTCTCTCTCTCTCTCTCTCTCTCTCTCTCTCTCTCTCTCTCTCTCTCTCTCGCCCCCTCTCTCTCTCTCTCTCTCTCTCTCTCTCTCTCTCTCTCTCTCTCTCTCTCTCTCTCTCTCTCTCTCTCTCTCTCTCTCTCTCTCTCTCTCTCTCTCTCTCCTCTCTCTCTCTCTCTCTCTCTCTCTCTCTCTCCCCCTCTCTCTCCTTCTCCCTCACATCGTTCATCCAAGTGAAATTATTATTAGTATTTTCATCATATATCGTGATGTTTAGTGGAGACAGAACTAAAGAAAAATATAAAACTGAATCATGATACACAGAACGATAAAGCTCTTATATTCATTTTAGCCAGAGCAACTTGAAATATATTAAAAGGTAAAGAGTTAAATGATGTTGATAACCAATTAATATTTTTTTCCTGTAAATATCGTTTTTGTCTTCTTGTTTTACTTATGTTGATTCTTTCTCATTTTAGATAACATGTGCTTTTGAAACGCTGAATGGCCGCAACATGGTGACACCACGTTCAAACATGTTTCATTATGTAGGAAAGTATGAATGAGAATGAATATCTTCACAATACAATAGTGTATTGGACCAGTTTCGAATTAAAGTTATATTTCGAAACCGGTCAAATACACCTCTTGTATTATGAATTATGTATTATGAATCTTGTGTTACGTATTCATTCATGCTTTTTTCTACATTTGTCAGCATGAATACGGTTCAAGTTACGTCATGTATGCCAAAATCTGCCAAAAATCTGCCGAAATTTATGATGAAACAGAAAAATATTATGATTCAGTCATTTGTTTTAAGACGGATTCTGTGTTAAAAAAACAGTGTATTCATCAAACTTAATAATCCTTGTGTATTTATATTAAGAAGATTTATTATTATCATTAAAGATATGATTTGATTCCTTGAGTTGTAGTGTTATCCACATTATATATCTAATCTACAGGAAAAAAGATGGTCTGATCACAAATAAGGAAATAATAATGAGAGGGTGATTAAAAAAAAAAAAAAAAAAAAAAAAAAAAAAAAAAAAAATCCACATTCACTATATGATATTTCAATGTTTTTTGGTATTTTGAAATTTGCACACAAACCCCATCCAAATTCTCTAATCACAAAAAAAAAATATTCACTTTTCAGAGATAAAGATGATGAAAGTATTTCTCAGCACGTAAGAAAAAGAAAAGGAAATAAGATGAAATAAAATAAGATAAAAGAGAAAAGAAACGAAAAGAAAAAAAAGAGTAATGGAAAGAAAGAAAAGTAAAGAAAAAAAACGAAATGTAAAGAAAAATGAAAAGAAAAGAAAAAAGAAAAAACAGTAAAAAAGAAAAAAAGAAAAAAAAAAGAGAGAAACAGAAACAAAATCACAGCCTTTCCACTCACCTTATTTAAGAGAAAAAAAAAATTTAACTTCTAATTGAACCTTCGTGTCCAAGAATAAGGTCGACGTGATCACTTGACACTCACACTGACTCACTCCTACTCACGCCCTCACCCCCACGAGCTAGGTCTTTGACGGGCGGAGGGCTGAGGGAATACTGACGGAGGGAAGTGGAGGCGGGCTGGCTCCACACCACGCCCCCCTCACTGACCCCGCCCCCACCACCACCACCACCGCGGCCGCCTTGGTCAGATGCACCACACGTCTCCGCACGCAGTTTGACGGTGTGCTTGCATGCACTCTTTATTTCGTTGGTTGGACTCTCTTTCCCTTTCTTGGGCTTTGTCTCTCTCTCTCTTTCTCTTGCTGTTTCTCTTCGTCTCTCTCTCTCGCTTACTTTTTATATTTATTTGTTTATTTCTCTCTCTCTCTCTCTCTCTCTCCTCTCTCTCTCTTTCTCTTCTCTCTCTCTCTCTCCTCTCTCTCTCTTCCTCTCTCTTCTCTCTCTCTGTCCTCTCTCCTTCTCTCCTCTCTCTCACCTCTCTCTCTCTCTCTCTCTCTCTCTCTCTCTCTCTCTCTCTCTCTCTCTCTCTCTCTCTCTCTCTCTCTCCTCTCATCTTCTCTCTCTCTCTCTCTCTCTCTCTCTCTCGCTTCTTGCTTTCTCCTTCTAGCTCTCTTTATCTTTTTCTCTTGCTCTTTTCTCTTTCTTTCGTTCTCTTCCTTTTTTTCTCTCTTTTATTCTTGCTCTCTCTCTCTCTCTCTCTCTCTCTTCTCTCTCTCTCTCTCTCTCTCTCTCTCTCTCCTCTCTCTCTCTCTCTCTCTCTCTCTCTCTCTCTCTCTCCCTCCCTCCCTCCCTCCCTCCCTCTCTCTTTCTCCTTCTCTTACTCTTCTCTTCTCTCATTTATTTCTCCCTCGCTTGTGGCTAATGGCTAATTTACAATAGATTTTTATAGTACAATTTTTCATTAATCCTTTGCTAGAAAATATTAGTACATTTATGCACAGTTCATTATACAGCATACTGTATACTGTATATGCAGTATAAGGTGTACAACACATGTTTATACACTGACAGGAAGCTTAGCAAAGAACTGACAAACTTAATTTATATACACGATATAAACAGGTATCATCCAGTTAAAAGTTTCGCTTCACATGAAACATACATCTACATCCACAAACGAATTATTTTTAATCACATCATTACAGCTTCGATATCATCTCAGAATCAGACTTTAAGTGACTTTGAGTGACTGAGTGATTACTAAGCGATCTGTGCACTTTGCAATTGAGGTGATTGTGCATGAATTTTGTCAATAGCAACACACGTCTCCTCGCCACAGTTAAAATTCCTGCTTAGATATTTTTCTCCGTGTCGTGCATTTGGCGATCTGCTTAATATTTGTTATTTTTTTTTCGTGGCTTTTGTTTATTTATAAGATGATCGAGCTTGGTTCTAGATTGGGCATGTATGTGTTTGTTGGTGTTTCTTTTTGTTTATTTATATTCTGTTTTATTAGATTTTTTTGTGTGAATGTGGGCCACTGTATATAAGTACTGAGTATATAACACACGCTTTTGTCGCGTATTCATATTTAGATAAAAAGTCTAAAGTATTTATTCTTCTTGTTCCCTTGCTGTCTTCATCGGTAAGAAATATCTACTTCAAATACTGCATTAAACGTATGATTCATTGCTTCTTGAAATAATAGTTTCCCGCTTATATTTTAATATAAATATATTTTTTATTTATATATTATTTTATATTTTATATTTATATTTTATATTTATCTATTTTATATTTTATATTTTTATATTTTATTATTTTTATTTTATATTTTATATTTTCATATTTTTATATTTATATATTTATATTATATTTTATATTTATACTTATATTTTTATATCATTACTCCCTGAAATAAAAGTTTCTCACTTATGATATAAGTCGTAGGGTAGACTTGCATATAAATACAATCATCTGGTTATACTTTCTCGCTAATTACGACGTGAGTGAGAATAGATATTTGCACAAGGCGAGTTATTTCATCAAAGCCCAGTATTAGATTTATATCAGATTTATATCATTGATTTTAATGAGGAAGTGAAGACGCGCTGTATATGAGAATGTTGGTTAATTATCACTTACCTTTGTAATTAATACGCCTCGCTTAATACTCTTTCTGCATTCGTCACAATTATTTTTTTTCCATTTCATTCATAACCTTTTTATGCATTTATCACCACGAAAATAATTCCTTTTCATTCATAATTTCTCTCTACATTTGAACAAGGAAAACTATTCCTTTTCATTCACAGTTTTTTTTTTCAACATTTGACACAATGAAAAGGATTCCTTTTCATGCATAATTTGTTCTGCATTCGTCACAAAAATAATCCTTATCCTACATATATATATATATATATATATATATATATATATATATATAATATATATATATATATATATATATATACGTGTGTGTGTGTGTGTGTGTGTGTGTGCTGTGGTGGTGTGTGTGTGTGTTGTGTGTGTGTGTGTGTGTGTGTGTGTGTGTATGGTGTGTGTGTATGTGTGGTGGTGTGTATACATACATACAATATATATATATATATATTATATATATATATTATTATAATATATATATATATATATTACATTTGTCACAGTGAATTCCATCTGTCTTCAACCTATTCGTTTTAAATACTCTATTAATACGCATCCTCACCCTGACAAATTAGTGTAATTATCAGCATCTAATTTCAGAGACACCTGTGTGTGTTAATTATCTTGAAAACGCGATATATTCTTTGATTGACAGTCAGCTTTGCGGTTCAATATTCGGGTAAAAAGATAATCAGTCAATAGCATGAGATTGTGCAAGATCCCGAGCCATTGAATATATCCATACGAACATAGACACATAAATAAATGCATATATTCCTATTGAATCTGATAGATATACATTTATCTATCTATCCATAATGAAGATTCACTGGGTCGAGACTAGCACTATTTGAACAAAACGGTCAAAATCTTCGTAGAAAACCCTAATTGCATTTTATTTATTTATGTATTTATTTATTGATTTAGATGGCTTTTGAAAACCCTAATTGCATTTTATTTATTGATTGAATTGATTTAGATGGCTTTGAAAACCCTAATTGCATTTTATTTATTCATTTATGTATTTCTTTATTTATTTAGATGGCTTGATAACCT